TAAAAAACAAATAAATATGATTTAGTGTGTATTTTTTTTTTTTTGAAAAAAGCTTTCTATTTAAAACATGTGCGGGTGGAAGTGTTACAACATGGAAAACTATTACATAAGAACAATAAGGACGGTAAACAATAAGAAAAGATACTAAAAAGTATATACACCATCTTAAACATCCATAATCTTCATCGAAATTCCAGGAGAGACCGAGAGTTAATCCAAACAAAGAACGACACATGAAGCCTCTTGAACGACACAACAAAGAATAACACAATAAGTCGAATTTGAAGGGTAGAACACAACTCAACCATGAAACCTCTAAGTCCACCACAAAACCTGAAGTGATACAACACCAAGTAGAAGAGCAGACCTAAACCAAGCATTGAGAAGAAAGGGGAAGGCACAATGCCGAGTAGCCCAATCCCTTCGAGAACTTAAAGCAACACCTTTCACTAAGAAACCGTGACCTCAAGTATCTCCAAACCACAACTGGCCGAATCTAGTTAGGTAAAGGTAGAATCAGAAGATAAACCCAAACCAACCCTAGAACCAAGAGCAAGTAGCCGCCGCAGGACATCATAGAGGACCATCGCTGAAGAGGCAAAGCCGACTAGAGGAGCTCGTCCTCAAGAGCTTGACTAGAAAACTCACCAAACCAACAAACAGTGTGTATTAAATGATTTTTTTAAAATTTAAATGTTTTCAAAAATAATTTTGCATATATGGATGCTCTAGATAAAAATAAAACTCCTTAATTATATATATGATTATCCGAATTATGGAAATCCAATTTATCACAAAATCTAATCGAAGGAGACCTTGCATAAGAGCGAACCAGATTTTAGCAGAATAACGGCATGTGAAGAATAAATGGTCTCGTGATTCCAGAGGATGATCACAAAACACACTTCGGGCAAATGTTTGTATTCCATGACAACATATAATGTTTTTCGTCTAAAATTAAAATCGACAATATAATGATAATTTAAAATTTGATGATTCTACATATGTAATTTCCTATTTCGGAAACAATAATTTGGTTTTTTCCAGCATCTTTAGTTTGTCGAGTGAATGGATCATTTTTTTTGTATTAGATTTAGGATTTTTGGTTAAATTACCAATGAGTATAATTTTTTTGGTTATTACACAAATTAACGACATGGGTTATAGAAAAGAAAAGTAAAACATATTGAATTTAAAATGGAATTAAGCACGAAACGCTCCGTTTCGATTCTGTACGATCTCAAAGAGGACATCTAAGCTCGGGAAGAAGAAGAAGAAGCACTCGTTTGATTGTTTCTGCGATCCCATCAACTGCGAATCCACTTCAACTTGCAATATTCCAGGAAAAGTTTCCCGAGTAATCGAAGAAGATGAGCGACGTTTTCGAAGGGTACGAGCGCCAATACTGCGAGCTATCAACTAATCTCACCAGAAAATGCAATTCGGCTTGTCTTCTATCCCAAGGAGGTATACTCAATTCAATCGATAACTCTTTCGTCTTTGACTACCCCTAATCTACGAAACCCATCTGTTTTTCCCTGCGAATTTCTAATTTTCTGAGCTTTAAACGTACATGGGAGATGCATTTTAGGGTTTGTGATCTGATCTGTTCTGAAACTTGTGGAAATTTGTAAATGTTGGCTTCAAATCTATCTCCGATTGGATCAATTCAAGATGATAATGTCGCTGTGTGTGTTTGTCTTGTCTTGTTGGTGCTGAATCGTAAAAATTGCTTTTGCAGATGAGAAGAAAGGAAAGCTTTCTGAGATCAAATCCGGAATAGATGAAGCGGATGTATTGGTAAACTACGCAGCAATCTTTGCCTTTCTTCTCTTTATTGTGGAATCTCTCTCTCGTGTTATGATACATATGTTTCTCTCTTTTTGAAGATCCGAAAAATGGACCTCGAGGCGAGAAGTTTGCAGCCGAGTGCTAAGGCCTCTTGTCTTGCTAAACTAAGAGAATATAAATCTGACCTGAACCAACTGAAGAAGGAGTTCAAGAGAGTTTCATCACCAGATGCTAATCAATCTTCCCGTGAAGAGTTGATGGAATCTGGATTGGCGGATCCGCATTCGGTAATCCCTGATGGATACGATACTACTCTCTCTTTATTTTTCACTTGTTACAAAGTTAAAGACATAGTTTGTTAATCTGTCACCACCAGTAATCGTGGCTCCTTTCTGTGATCTTGATTAACTTTCCCGGAGTTTCTTCATTTTATATCTGTGCAAAGAGCAGACTTAAGTTGAATCTTTTCCGCTACTTTCCCATTCAGGTGTCTGCTGATCAAAGAGAGAGATTGACAATGTCAGTGGAGAGGCTTGATCGGTCTAGCGACAGAATCAGAGAGAGTCGCAGAACCATGCTGGAGACAGAAGAGATTGGTGTCGCAATTGTTCAAGATCTGAGTCAGCAGCGGCAAACTCTCCTTCACGCACACACCAAGGTATTGTCCCAAACAATACTGTCTAATTTTTTCCTGAATTAGATGGATCAGTCAGAAATTAAACAAAGTGACCCTATAACTTTCCCATTTTTTTATCGCAGCTTCATGGTGTGGATGACGCCATCGACAAGAGCAAGAAAGTGTTGACGGCCATGTCAAGAAGAATGACAAGGAACAAATGGATTGTTACTGCAGTAATCGTGGCTCTCATTCTCGCAATTATCCTGATTATTTCATTCAAACTTTCTCACTAAATATACTCAGGCATTTGTGTATAAGATTATGATAATTCCCTTTGGAAATGGCTTGAATCTCCTCTCTTCTCTCTCTATATGTTTTACTTGTATCCCAAAACGTGTTATGACATGTTTTTACATATAATTATGACAATGGATACATGTCCTTTCTCTCTGCTGTCTGTAACTGAAAATGCACAATTTCTATGATTTAAACCATCAAATTATCCAGCACTAAGGATCTACAAATCTAAACAAACACATATCCAGAAAAAGGCAATAATACTGACACATAAATGAATTTTCAAGTCTCAGAGAACATTTTTTGCAGCAATTGATCTAATGTACAACACCTAAAGAAGATAAGACTGTTTGTTTGGGCTGGGAAA